CATTCCATGTCGGGAGTGAAACCACTTGTTGTTTGGTTTTTCTTTTTAATATTTGTATCTGGTATTTGATCAACGATTATCAATATGTTTGTACAAGCATAATAGAACTTCTGAATAATATATATATATATATATATATATATATATATATATATATATATATATACNTCTCACACACACACACACACACACACACGCGCGCGCGCGCGCGCGCGCGCACACCCCACAGATCAAGAAGTCCTGGAAACAGTTCTTGGCTCCTTTAGCTTTTTCTCATAGCATCTGAAGCTGTCCGTGAGTCTGCATAAATTAGGGGAATCATTAAAGTAAAAGAATGGAATACCTGCATAATGCTATAAGTTGGGCATGCTTTATCACTATTGGAAAATGACTTTTTATTCTGGAAATTTTATCTTGTGTAACCGCGATATTTCCATGACACTAACTGTGCATCATGGGCATAAAGATCTCATTTAAAAGGAAATATAGGAAAAAAGAAAACTGATAAACATTAAAGGTATTGAGTATAGTCTTTCTTGAACTCCAAGTTTGTTATCGCAGTCATGTTATCCAGCTGCTTCTGTCCATGTAAACCTCAAGCTAAAGATGCAAATTAACCACTATAACTTGAAATTAACCTAAGTACTTCAATAGAACAGTATTGTTTGGGTCTTTTTTTGGAGTTTTGCTAGTTTTTTTTTTGGTTTTTTTTTTCTGGAAACTTTTTATCTAAAAATGAAGGTTTCTACAGCTATATGATTTCAGATTTGAACCTCTTGAGTGTTGAGATTCAAATTTGAGTTTCAGACTTGAGGAAGGGGATCTTTTAAGGGAAATTAAAGCTGGAAGGGATTTTGGAATTTTCAGACCTCTAAAAAACTTCTTTATCAAGGCACTAGGCCTCTCTTTTATAGGCAAGAATAGGGGCAGAAGGTTCTGGAGATTTTTACTTATTAAGATCTTCCACAAATGCTACTTTTGAGTTTTGGCCTTCTCTCTGCCTTCTTGAAGGTAGGGGTAAGGTCTGCTGAGACCCCACTTGTGGGATTACACTGGGTTTGTTGTTGTTATTGTTGCTATTGCAGAAAGAAATAGAAAAATTAGCCTTAAAATGTTTCTCGTTCCTCCTTGTCTGTGCTCTCGAATGACAGCTTGGCTTACATCTTTGACTTTAATTTGATCAAACTTCTATACTTATTATCTATAGCTCTTCACTTGTCAATGAAACAGATCTATAGCTATTAGAAGCAATTGAGCCTATCCCCTCTATTATAAATATACGATACTTGAGCATGTTCAGCAATGGATGGTGTTTTTGTTATTTGAGTGATGCATGTAATTACGGTGATTATTCTGAAATGTCCTCTCCTTTTCATTTATTTACTATAATGTCATATGCCGTTTGATACAACAGCAAATACACCATCCCGAACTTGTTCGTGTCTGTTCTATGAATCCTCTATATCCATTTTATTCCAATGTGATGTGTCATTTGATTTATGGTAAATTTGATATATTTCAAAATTTTCACAATTAGTGGTGTTTTAATTCAGATGGTCTTCCTTTCGAATTCAGAGCCCTTGAGCTTGCTTTGGAGCTAACTTGCTTGTCTCTTGATGCTCAGGTATGCGGCAGACTCACTTGGTGGCTGATTGAAACTTTTTTTTTCTGTAATAAACTACAATATTTCTGTCCATAGTAGGCAATAATATACTTGCACTAATATATGCCATTGATGCATAATGCGATAAGGATCATCAAGAACTGCAAAGAGGAGTTATAGAATATCTTAAAGCTCAATTGCAGTTTGATCCATTCTAAGTTAAGAGCTTTCATTTGTTCTTTGTTGGTTAACTAAAAATGGTTCAAGATGCTTTGCATCAATTGCTTTTGGATGTTAGAAAATCCCCTCCATGTTGTTTATTACTCAGTTTTATTATTACCATACTGTGAGGTGTTGGCCGAAAAATATAAATGCACTTTTACATGGTTTTCTTTTCTCTGTATCCAGTACCTCAAACGAATTGCAGTAATTTCTCATGATTAAATATATGTTCTCAATCAAAACTTATTTTTCATTTTGTTCTAAATTTAACAGGTGAAAGAATTAGAACTGGAAATATACCCAGTGCTTGATGAACTAGCATCATCTATTAACACTCTAAATCTGGAACGAGTCCGTAGATTGAAAGGTCAGCTGCTTGCCTTGACTCAGCGAGTCCAAAAGGTATGATTGTAGTACACAGTCTGACAACGCTTGGTAACTTCTTAGGCTGCTTTATAAACTTTTTAAACAAATGTTCAGGTCTGTGATGAAATAGAACATCTAATGGATGATGACGGTGACATGGCTGAGATGTACTTAACAGAGAAGAAACAAAGGAAGGAGGATTTTCTTAATAATGATTTATATGATCAACCAGATATATTTGGCAAAAATAGAGGAGCAGCAAGATCTGCTCCAATCTCACCTGTATCATCAACTACGGGGGTGCAGAAGTTGCAACGAGTATTCAGTAATGTGAGCTCAAGCAAATACGGAAGCTTTTCAGCTTCATCTAATGGTCAAGAAAATATCGATCAACTTGAAATGTTGCTTGAAGCATACTTTGTTGTCATTGACAACACTCTCAACAAGTTGTTATCAGTAAGAGATTCTTATGTTAAGCTACTTACTTGCTTTCCTTCTTGAATATTGTCCACAAAATCTTATATTTATAGTGCAACATTAATTACATTAGAATAAACTAAATAGTTCCTGATAGATTCAAGAGATGCTTTTAGAGTTAAATTACCATTCTGACCAACAAAAAAAATTCAACAATCTTAAATTTTATTCCTTATATATAGCCTCAGGTTCTGGTTTATGGATAAGGGGAGAATTATGGGAATAATCTAGCACCTGATTAATATATTAGTGGGTAAATTAAGTAGATCTCATATTACTACTATTTACAACAACAACAAACCCAGTGTAATCCCACAAGTGGGGTCTGTGGAGGATAGTGTATACGCTGCCTTACCCCCCTACCTTGCGAAGATAGAGATGTTGTTTCCGATGACCTTATATTACTGTTTGACCCCTACATTTATTTCCAACCATGGGCGACTCATTCACTTTCTTTATATTTTTTCTTTAAAGTTGTTTAAGTACTTAATCTACCCCTAGTTATTAGCTTTTTATGTGTGAATAATTCTGGGAAAATATACTGCGGACTACATGGGGTTCAGTCAAACCGCTTATCTTAGTCTCATAAATCTCACATTGGACATGAGAGTTCTTCAATAGAGTCACAAATTGCATAGGCCGAGATCTTTCCCAATAACCTACGTGCTGCCGCACCCGTGTTGGGTCCTCCAAAAATACACTACTTTTGGAGGATCAAACACACACCCTATGATATTTTCGGAGAGTCTTAGCAACATAGCCAATAACTCATTTCCTTTCCTTTTTTTTACTTGGGGGGGGGGGGGGGGGGGAGGTTCATTTGGATTGATGAGCAATGACTAATGCATGACCCCCTAATTATTGATTCGGCATTACAACCAAGGAGTTTGTATTTCTCACTTCCATTGTCTCTGGTGTTGCAGCTTAAAGAATATATTGACGATACAGAGGATCTGATCAATATAAAACTGGTAAGACTAACAAGCAGATAGTATCTTTGAGTGCTCACTTGTTTCTATGCAGCTTTGCATATATATATATATATATATGTGTGTGTGTGTGTGTGTGTGTGTGTGTGGGGCTGTGTGGCTGTGTGTCACGCACATGCTAATAAAGCTCATGAAACTCACTCCAGTTTTTATTCTGTAACAGGGGACTGTCCAGAATCAGCTAATACAATTTGAGTTGCTTCTAACAGCTGCAACTTTTGTGGCTGCTATATTTGCTATGGTGACTGGAGTATTCGGAATGAACCTGAAAACCACGGTTTTTAACGATCCAGATGGGTTTAACTGGGTTCTTATCATTACTGGATTGTTCTGTTTGGTCTTGTACATTGCTTTCTTGATTTACTTTAAGCATAAGAAACTCTTTCCACTGTAAACAAATCTTAACACTTCAATTGAAGGTGGTGTGGAAATTGCCATGCGATCATTTGATTTTTCATTTTCTCATCTTGCTTGGGAGCCCCTTTATGCAGTAACTTGATAGTGCCGAATTTTTATTAGCTTTTATCTGAGCCTACTATTCTCGCTTTCTGCATTTGACTGCAGAAAAATAGACTAACCGGAGATGAAGTTTTCTCCATATGTATGTGCCTTTCTGCTTGCAGAGAATGTAGTGATGGTCTTTTGATGTTTTTTCTCATTGAGTTTCTCAGCTTGGACCAAAGGCGAATCTAGGATGTAAACAAAGTGTGTTCAACATTTATGGTTCTTGGCACTAAACTCTTTGCGCTTCTGAAATTATGAGTTTAGAATCTAATTTTGTTGAAATCTTTTTTGCTTGTTTACATCTATGTTCTATGTTGAAAATAATGGGTTCAGTCGAACCCACATCACGAAGGCTCCATCCACCTCTGTCTTGGACTTGTTTGTTGGCATTTCCTACTTTGTGATGGTCCTACAGATAAACCTTTGTCGCTCCTCTCCTATTGGCATGCCTAGTCACCTAGCACATGATCCTGCTACATCTATCCTAGTAGTCAGGGGTGGATTTAGCGTTAGGATAGCGGGTTCATCTGCATTCGGTGCATTCCGTACTTTCTATGCAGTGTATAAGTTTATGTGTAAAAAATCACTAAAATTGCAATAAATAGTAGATACGAACCATAACTTTAAAGATTTAATGAGTTTACTGCTGAAAATCTTAAAATTGAACCCATAGAGTTTAAAACTTAGATCTGTGCTAGTAATATAATAAAGCTAACTTGGGAGCAAGAAATAATTCAAATAACTTGAAACTTTGTAGTTGGTTTTGGAGCTTTATTCTCCTTTTTTTGTTCTTTGTGAGGGTTGGGTGGGGATTCTTCCTTTTCTTGAGCAACTATACATCATCATAAGCAAAATATATTCACACTCTCTAACCAATATGTCTATTGATCTATACATATTTCCTCAATCTTTACATGTACACTGTACATCTTTTCTCTATAGTGACAAGAGTATAAGAAGATACAGATCTAGCATAAACAATAAGGTAAGACAAACAGATGCTGATAGATAAAATAAAAATTAAAAAAAAAAAAAAAAGGCAGTCCGGTGCACTAAGCCCCTAGTATGCACGAGGTCCGGGGAAGGGCCAGACCATAATGGTCTATTTGTATGCAGCCTTACACTATATTTCTACAAGAGGCTGTTTCCACAGCTCGAACCCGTGACCTCCTGGTGACATGGCTGCAACTTTACTAGTTACGCCAAGGCTCTCCTATACAAACAGATGCTGATCAAGTTCTCAAAAAAATGTAAAGAACAACCTCCTTTTGTTGTCCTTTTCACATTCTCCCTGCCCATTTTCTCCAAGACATCAGGATATAAGCCATCTTCAGATGTCATGTTGACATAATATCAACAAGATCATTTTCCCTCCATGTTTTGTCTAACAATCAGTGCTCTATCTAGAGGAGGACTTCTTATATCAATTTCAAAAATAGTTTCACTTCCATGCATGGTCCTGATGGTATCTTCATTAGCCTCATTATAACAATATGGACTTTGTGGATATGCAGAAGACTCCGATTCACTCGATGCATAGTCCATTTGAGATAGAATGTGTTGTGCTTCCAATGAATAAGCTCTGATTTGGCTGTGACGAAGAGCTGTTTCAAGATCCTTAATTTGAGCTTCAAGCCTGGATTCTATTACCTCGTGCAGGCGCAAGCTTAGTTCCCTCGGGGAAACAGGATAATTTGCAGGTTTAGAATGATAAATCCTAGTTTCACTAGTATCCCGTTCTGATTCTGAGGAATCAGAACACTGCATATTGAGGTAATCTGGTTTGAAATCTCCTTGGGCCACATCTACTTCATCTTCTGGATCTATCTGCACAATTGAAACTCATAAATCAGAACTAACTAGACAAAAAAGGAAGAGTAAAGAGATGAAAGTGTTGTGATAACAAGTTAAACAGCAGTAGATCTCCAAGAATTTTTAACATAGACACCACATTAAATATGAAGTCTATGCTCTTCTTTTAAGAAAACCAGCATCTACGAGCTTGAATATGATTCAATCAATCAATCAACTACACCACAATTCCAGACTAGAAGACGTCAGCTATATGAATCCTTTATATTTGTCGCTCTTTGAGGATTTGTCTAAGTTAGGTTATATTTATGCTGGCTGTTAACCTTCTGCAAATGTCCTTTTTCGGGGATTAGGACCGACTATACTTTTGCACAAAGGTGGAGTTACAAGAGTGACTAGGATTATGACAAATGTGCCTCAATCTCAAGCAAGTTGGGGTCGACTATATGAATCCTAACTGTCTATGTCGTTCCATTTAAGGTTGCCTCAGTCAAAGTCTCAAAAAGGACATTTTCCAAAATACCAGTAGAAGTGTAGCAAAATGCAGGCTTACCTCAACATAATCAGATATTCTTTCAACCTTCAAGCTCATTTCCAACCTTTCCAACTCAGCTTCAAGCTCTGCCTCGATTTCACTCATCGACTCGTGATTCTCAGCTACCTGATGATTTGTGTTTTCACTAGTTTTTGGTTCATTAACTTGAACTTCAGAAGAAAATGACATTGGCTCAACAGCTGACATAGAGGGACTATATAGATTTGGCTTTTCATAGCCATCATTAGCATTCTCTTTCACAGTGAGCTCCTCTTGTAATTCTTGAACTAAATTCTTGGTCCACTTTAACTTCTCATTTACCTTTTCTATCTCTCTTCTGTTTGCAATAATAGCAGACATCATACCAGTAATGATTCCCATATACAATACATCCATTCCATTTGGTAGCCCTGCTTGATTCATGTCAAAGTAGAAACATAAATAAAGCATTACTAAGTTACTATGCATAGAAAATAGATACAAGAACAACAAACCCAGTTTAATTCCACAGGTGGAGTCTGGGGAGGGTAATGTGTATGCAGACCTTACCCCTTACCTTGTGAAGGCAGAGGGACTATTTCTGATAGACCCTCGGCTCAAGGAAGTGAAAATGGATAAATTTACATAAAATTCAAGAGATTCCTTAAGTAGAAACTTATGTCTCAAGAAAGTGAAAATGAAACAAGAAAGATGTGAGATCAACCGAGATAAATTGAGTTTAACTCACATACACCGGCAATGTAAAAGAACTTTCATACTAACATGTCACCTAATATGATTATTATAAGTAACTATCCATAAAAAGTGAGATTAGTAACCTGGAAAATAAGGCAGGTTACCTGCTACAATAAGTTAAAGTACACTGATAGCGTATAAGTTCGTTATAAGTTATAAAAAGGGCAGCCCGGTGTACTAAGCTATCGCTATGCGCGGGGTCCAGGGAAGGACCGAACCACAAGAGTCTATTGCACGCAGGCTTACCCTGCATTTCTGCAAGAGGTTGTTTTCACGGTTCGAATCCGTGACCTCCCGGTAACATGACAACAATTTTACCAGTTACGCCAAGGCTCCCCTTCATTAAGTTAAAGTACATTGATAGCATACACGTTCTTTATATTATCAGTGTAAAATGGTATAATAATTGAAGTTGAAAGAACCTGTTGAATTGAATTGTCCACTAGAAACTTTGTTCCTGGTAATTGTATGCTCTCTTCCATTATAATCTTTTGGTTCCCATTGGACCGCAAACTCGCAATTTGCTGACGAATCAAGATTAAGACGTCTGAATCCGAAAACCCCTTCATCAGCAATTTCTTTTTTAGCTCTTTTTCGAGCTAATCTTCGAAATGGACAAAGATTTTCACGTATTTGGTACACCAAATTCTTGTTATCTGATTGTTCATGTGTTGAGATTTTAGAAAATTGCTTTTGCTCTAGTAAGTTGTCCTTATTGTCTGATGAACTTTGCAAATACTGTGCTATATAACCAGCACCTGCAGCTGCTACAACAACCCAAAACTCCATAATTTTTTATCTTCATGCACAAGCAAAACTATACCTTATTTCTTCAAAAAATTGATCTTTGCTTTCTAAGGCTCCAAGATTATTATTATAATGAGTATTCATCATAATTGGACTAAGATGAGCTTAAACGGAGCGATATGAATAGTGCAGATTCATATAGTCGACCCTAAATTTGAATGAAAATTCCGGAGATTCCTTCCCTTCAGCTTAAGCTTTGGTGGACAGATTTAGCCGATACATGTATGAGCTAGCTAGCAGGTATACCTTGAAATAGTCGAGGGACGTACAAGCTGATCTAGACATCGCTATTTGGAAAAAGAAAACTATCAAAGTTACCAATCTTTGAGCTTTTAGAGAGAATGGAAGTTTAACATGACCTTTTCAAAGAGCTGGTAATTAAGAAAAGAAAAGAAAGAAATGGAGAAAGTATGAACTGGAAAATGAAAAGCTAGTAATTAATTACTTAATTCAATGATAAGGAAGACGTGGAAACTATGATAGTAACATTGTCCCTTCTGAAAATCCACAAATAATACTGCATAATTCCATAGATGACGACATAGAGTTAGATCTATTAGATTAATAAACTCTATGACTTAAAGAGAAAAATGAGTGTTCACCGGCCGTGGAATCAACTATTGATGCTTATATAGGTTAGGCTGCCTATATTACACATTTTTGGGTGCAACCTTTCTGTGAATCCTGCGTGAACGCGGGAATGCTTCGTACATCGGGTTGCCTTTTGTGCTTTTTTAGTCTTTAGAGGCAAAATAACAACATAATTTAAGTTATATACACCGATAGTGTAAAAGAATTTGATGCGATCAACAGAGTTTAATAACCTATAATAGCAAATTAGTTATCACAGGAGTATATCAATTTACAAATTTATCTTTATAATAGATATTTATTATAATTTTATTATGAATGACCCGATTATGTTAATATTGGTCAATATATAGAACTTAAACTCTTAACGATAATATTGATCAAAAGACACTCTATATGTTCAATATCAAACAGAACCATTTATTCCTAAAAGCAATTGCCAGTCATTTTAAGGAAAAATAGAAGAAAAAAATAGGTGGAATTATGTATGGTTATCAAAGTTTAGTCACCATGACCACGTGGCTTGTTCTTGAAAGTGAAAGCTGGAGCCAAAGAAATAAATTTGAGTAAATAATAGTAGTATTAATTAAAAAAAAGAAAGACTAAATTAAGTGGACTTTTCCAACCAACTATAATGAAGTCCAAACGTTTTCTTTTTCTCCAAAAAAAAAAAAAAAGAAAGAAAGAAGTGAGGCCCTAAATGATTCACGTATCTTTTGAGATAATTTTAATTTGTATATTATTTTTTCGAAGAATTATTAAATTTAATTGTTATTATAGTTACCAAAATAGCTGGCCAGAAAAATTGTGAGCCAGCATTTGGCTAAAAATTAGGCCAATTGGTCTCTAATTAGGCCACACAACTAGAATTAATTACCTGGTTTGAGATTGGATCCCACTCTAGATTGCGTTTGTTTCAAGAAACAGGTGATTTTTTTTTTCCAAACATTATTTCTGAAACTTCTTTCTTTCAGATTTTTTAGCACACTGAAAAACTAACTATTTTAGAGGTGCTTTTCAGCTTTGCAAAAATAAAAAAGTTTCTTTCTAATAGGAGTGGTATTTAATTGAAAAACATTTTTCCATAAGTTTTTCAAAACAAATGCCGGGATTTTTACAAAAATAGTCGACCAGGTTCATCTTTTATTTTATCTAATCAGTATACATAGATTATTCATTGATTATATATAGTTATATATATATTATTTACGAACTATATATATTTTACATCCGCCGGCTATTTTTATTTAAGAGATTAAGTGAACGTCTAATTGAGTTAATTCTTCAAACATTTTTCATTTTTTTACTACTATTTAGAAGTGAGAATAAAGAGGTCTTGGTCGTCCGGGGGTACTTTGGTCTTTTCAACAAATTTTAGATAGACTTCATATTTGTGTGCCTGAGTTTTAAAAAAAAAAAAAACTTTATTAGAAGTACTATTCAACATTTTTGATAGAAATACATAAAGGACCATACAAGCAATCTGCTTTGTCTTTTCTCCCTGGATTTAATAACAGTAAGAAGATCAGAGTTGCTCGAGTTGTAATTGTGTGTTGAAATCACTTGGTTGTGAAACTTGTTAATGGGAAGACTTTTAACTGTTCCTTCTTCAACTTATTTTTCAATTCTTTAGTATGAGAAAACAGTCTTCCCTTGATTAGTGTGATAAACTAATTTACTACTCCCTCCGGTCCAAAATAAGTGATTTTTTGGCCTTTTTCTTGTGGTCCAAAATAAGTGATTTTTTCAGATTTCAAGAATGAATTAATTATTTTTTTCCTACATTGTCCTTAGAGTAAATAGTGTTGGAATATGTGTTAGGAGTGTTTATGTGAGATAGTAAAGGTTAATATGATCAATTCCAGTGCTAATTAATGCTAAAAGGTGGCTTCCTTAATCTGTGTGAAAACATCCAAAAAATCACTTATTTTGGACCGAAGGGAGTATTACAGTTGCTTGTTTACTTATGACACGCTCCATAATTGTAAAACTCTAGGGGAAAAAAGAACCGGGCATATTTTGTTATCATGTTGATGTGCTAGCTCCTTTAATTTGATAGCAGGCAATAAATCTAGATTTGTTATAAAATAATAAAAGAAGAAGAACAATATTGCAGAGAGAGAGGGGGAAAATTCTTATTGAATTTTGGGATGAATTAATATGGAATAGAACCCTCTATTTATAGGGAGATGGTGACTTAGCCACCAAGTAATAAACCCTAGAATCTCTCTAAATATAGACATTCACCATAAATAAAATTCTATTTATAACACTCCCCCTTGAATGTCTATTCAACAGATAATATGCCTCGTTAAAATCTTAACTAAAATAAAACCCAGTGGGAAAAAAATTCTAGAGAAAGAAAAAGAGTACACATATCTGACAACAATACGCCTTTTGGTTGTCTCGTTAAAAACCTTGCAAGGAAAACCCGGTGGGACAAAACCTTGTAAGGGAAAAGGAGTACAACGCGTATTAACTCCCCCTCATGAGAGCATCAATTCACATCCTTAAGCATTTGCATTCCAATCTTGTGCACCATCTTCAAAAGATCTTTGGTAGAGATTTGATGAACAAATCAACCATATTAACTTGAATGAATATATTGCACCTTGAAATCATCATTCTTGATAGAGATGAATTGTCTTCATATGATCTTGTTGGAATCGTCAGTTCAATATCTTCACGTAGAGGTGAAAACTCTTGCTATCATGTTATCATGCATATAGTTATAGCAAGAGACATTTGTGCACAAATTGCACTGAGGATGTAGTACTTCATGACCGTGAATTCTATATGCTTTAAGCAATTTAAATCCTTTAGGAATTGTTAAGTCATATAAGCCATATAATAGACTTTAGATGCATATCAAGTTTTCATGTCATGCTAGACATATAAGATATCGAAAATTGATTGCACATACCATTGACTTTATACTTTCAAGTGTTTGAACCACATGTTCAAAACTACATGTCTTTCATATGAAACCAATTCTATTCGAATTGTTTCTTCAGACTTAAGGTCCTCATATATATATTTAGCGCTATCATAGATGTCGTCGACAAACATTTTATATCAGTTTCAGTATTTTTTCATAAAGACATAACATAGAGATCTCTTCATTCATATTTTCAGGTACCTGAATCTCTCTTGAGATTTTATGAAGTGTTATGTTATGTGATCTTCTAGATCACTTGCCTCCTTTATTATGATCATTTTGATCATTTGCTCATCTTCTTTATCAAGAAGTTTATTTGAAACTGATTTGTCTATATGCTTTAAGCGTACTATAAACTTTGTCCTTCTAGGACTTATTCTAATAGGAGCATTTGCAATGAGAATATGGTTACTTTCTTTGGGTCAGCAAATGCGTCTGGCATGCTTTGCAATAAATTGCAGATGAATTATATTTTATGAACCTCAAGTTCATATTATCTTATTCGAGGATCTAGATGTACAAATGATAATTCATTCCATGTAACGTTTTCTCAACTGTTAATCGTGTCTCCACCTCATGTTAGAAAAACTAACTTGTTACTTCAACTTTGAGAATCCACCTTTGTGCGTTATAGTGTTAATCAAAATATACACCGCACATCAATAATAATAATAAGATAAAATTATTTAGTTCCTGACCCTGAACCACATGTGAGGGGAGAAAATAATATACTTTCGTATAACGTATATCAAACTGATATACAAAATTTTGTTCTCATAAGCAATTGTTTAGCTATTAAGTGGAGGCACTCAATAAATCATTTTTCTAAACCAACTGTGATTTAAACCAACTTATCAAGATGAACTGTCTTGAATAAAAAGTCGGGAAATTATGCTCTAAATCAAATTATTGATCAAGTTACCTCACAAACACCATGTTGCGGGTTAATAATAATCGCACATGTAACCATCTCATAGATGCATCTTATGTGGTGTACATGGCAGGTGAATGAGCCCATATTCACCTTTGATATTTCCAACATTCATGGGATTCAATCCCAATTTTAATTGGTCTATTGATTAATGAGAACATGCAACATAAGAGAATTCATAAAGAACTTTCTCGTTCTTTAATATTTACCCATGTGAATTCTCTATTATTTTTGCACATCATACTTAAATTGATATGGCTAAACCAATTATGCCAACTGAATAAATTATCAATATTGATAAACTTCAGATTTACACCATGACGTGTGCAATAATTATCAATAAACTTCAAGTTTATTATGATGTGGGTTTTTATATCGATAAACATCCACTTTAGTGTGGTATTCTTTTATTTGTGTAGTACAAATTGAAAAATAAAGCGGGTAGCTTTTCAAATACATATTATCCCGCTACAAGTAGTAGTAATAGAAGATATTAACTCTTTCCTTCATTTATAGTCTCAATATAATCAACCGTTTTCGCGTATACTTTTAAAACTAAATAAGTTTCTTTGAGACTTACTATAACACAATACCTTATTGGTAATCAATTGTGTTTCTCCAAAATAGTAATAATTGGTTCTTCCAGAGCTCTCAATTAATTTGGTACTACCACATATTCATTAACATCCATATGGTGAATATCTCTTTCAAGGAGAAAGTTATACCATTATGGTCATGGTCAAAATTATATGCAAGATATGTTTCTTGCATTATTTTTGTCCTTTAATAATCACATTGCCAAAATATTTTGGCATACAATAAGTACGTGACCAATGACCATTCATGCCATAATAATGACATTATTTTCTTATATCATCTCAAACCTCCTTCTAGAGGTGAGTGCGGTATATTCACTACCACTAGCACGTTCATATTCTTTGAAGAATGAATATGTATTCATAAATCAGA